ATGTGTTTATTCCTTTAGGTATATGAAATATATAAAACCTATGTTTTATAGAAGAAAATGCATGACGGAAGAAGTGAATGACATGTTTGCAACTTGATAATAGAACATCTGTGTATAAATCTGTAACCATTATCATTGAACGTAAAACATTAAAAAAATCAAGTAATGGTCTAATAATAATATCATGCAAAATAAAACATTTATACGTATCACTAATGACAAACATATTTTCTTTTGTTTGATGAGCTTCATTTTAATCAGACGCTAGAAATCTGAAACTTTAAACAGTTTGTGTCATAAAAATGTTCATATTCAAAAATTTCAAAATACAAACGCACCAAACACCCTTGTGTTTGTGTCTACGATGAATTAAGCGTACTAAAATAACGAAATATCGCACAGTTTTCTAAAGAAATATGAAATATGCGTTATCTGTGTGTCATTGTCAATAAAGCATGTTACTGGTGTATAATAGCCGAGGAAGATCAAAGACAAGTCACCGCACCATGCGATAATTTTACATAACGGCATCGTCGCTCTCTTTATAATTATAACATAATACATGCTTTCAACTCCATTTAAAAAACGATTATAGCTAAATAAATTGCTGAATAATGAAATATGCGCGCATACAGGTACGATTAGAACAACAATGTAAAGTGTAAATTTTTACTGCCGTTTTAAAAACTATCCCTATAAATATACCCCAACAAAAAATTTTGAAGTATAGTGTTATTTGATCTTAAAAGTACTTGGTTCAAAAAATCTTTATTTTTGCCATATGCGACAAAACAGTTTTTGACGGTCTGAGTTGTCTCTCCGTGCATTATTCCATTTTCGTGCGGGTAGCTGAATGTGACCACCAACTTTCCGTAGACCGTATGTACCTCGTGATTACATCACTACCTGACAAAGTATTATCATAGCAGTTATTTAGAACAATGTATTTGTATTACCCATTTAATATTGATACACATGTAATTACAAAATGTCACCTTGTTATCTGTGCCTGTCTAATAAAGTTTATGTTATGTTATGTTCTGTATTTAACTTTAAGATCATTCTTTTCGAAATGTTTTTTTTTTTTTTTTTGACGCTAATTTTGATATTTGATATTTAAGGAAATATATTTTGTCAGTTCGTCCGTGCGTCTGTCAATTTTTACGATTTGGTAATTAACTTCAATTTTCTTTTACAAAATTATCCCATTTTTTGAAAGTTTGAAAGAATAATCTCGCGGAGTCGCGGTCCTTATCATAAATGGTTATCCTGTATTAAATGCTATTAAATACATTTTTGATCATTAAACCATTACTAAGTGCTGATATTTATACCTGCCAAATCGTGCAGATTTTTGCAGATATATTCTATTTATGAATATATTAAAAGAAATATTAAAATCAAAATAAAATAGGCTGCAAAAAACATAGTTTAAAACCTTAAGAATTATTTTTTCAATTGATTTGCGGTTGAAAGGGTTTTTAGAAAAATAAAAGTCTTTGTTAAAAAAAACTGACATTGCTTTACATAAAAACGACACGCAATGTTTTGAATGGTGAAATCAATTTCAAGTTAACAAGTTAAGTAGCTCAAGCAAAAAAAATCAAGACAGCAATAGGTTCCTGTAAATCTCGATATATCATGTTAAATATATCGAAATAACGCAAATAACACTTTCGGGGTAGATATAAAAAAAAACATAAGTTCACTTATATTTTGCTTATAACATGTAATACGTTTCATGTATTATGCACAATTATTCTTTTTTTTCAAACTATATTAATTTCCATACATTAATGTTGAACAAGCGCTAAATGTAACAGAGTAATAATAATATGAAAATATGATAAATTAAACTGTATATTAGAATATCAGAAATTTAACTATACGATTTAACCATTAAATGTTTGTTTTTTTTATTTCAAAATCTATGCGATGACCTTGGCATTAATTCGGTCGGCATAGCGCTACAGCTATTTGTTTTGGCGGTATGCATTCCAAAATCGTGAATATATGAACAATGGCTCAAAAAGGCCTTTATGATATTGAGAAGATAATAAATACATTAACCTATATATATATTAGGTGTATTGTGTATGACGTAGATATTAATTTTATTCTTCTATAGAAAACTACATCAGTGGGCTATTCTATCGCTTCAATAGGTTGTTCAAATTTGAACTGTACAGGGAGATCAACAAATAGAACTTCTGAAAGCAAATACCCGAAAAGTTTTCTGATACTTGCACTTAGGAATTTCAACAGAACTCAAAGAGTTTTGTACTCTTTGCGTAAATTAGACGTTATTCTCAGAAGTTTGTTGAATAAACGCTATTGCCGATTCTATTTGTGTACCAAGCGCCCTCAACTGCACTATGATTGTCGATATAGAAAACCTCTCGTTTTCATTTCAAGACATGACTACCTAAATAATATTCTAAAGCAGAACAATAATAAAAAACTGGTTCAACAGATTTTTGAATATTGTTAGTCGTAAAGCAGACTGTGTGGTGACAAAGGTTAAGTAAATAGACTGCGATTATCTGACGTTCGCTTAAAAAATAACAATGGTACGTTTTTAACTATCAATATAATCTTAATATGGAATAAGGAAAGCTGATATCACCCTTGAAAACTAGTATAATATGTAATCTGATACAGACAGGTTCGTGTTTAACTTATACTATTTACTATATAAAGCTTAAAGATTTTTATGGTTCAAATTCGGTGACAATGCACCATGGAACTGAGTTTTTGTTGATAAAACATGTTAATTGTATATATTTTTATATTGTGAATATCTAATACCATCGTACGATAATAGGAGATTACTCAACCTTTTTACACCTTCAGACGAAAAAAAAATCTCTTTTTCTATGAAACATAACTATAGTTTCATTTTTCAGTTTTACTTTCATGCAATAACATTTAAGAGTTATTAAATATAGATTTATCAATCCTATTGTTTTTTTGTTATATAGGTATTTTTAAAGCTTTATAAGCTATATATTCGTATGAAATAAGATTTAAATTAATAAATAAATGAATAGAGGATATTGAATGAGTGTAAGTTCAATACTGAATTTATTGCACGAGTCGAATAAAATTATATTATGCGAGCCTCTGGCGAGCATACTAGTAATATTATTTTATTCAATGAGTGCAATAAATTCAGTAATGAACTTACACGAATTTAATATTCTATTTATCTCATACCCAAAGTAAAGACCGTTTAGAGTAAAATAAGAGTCATTTTTCATTGACGTGCCTATAGTATAACGCTAACACCTAGCGCGTCTTTACACTATGGTTGTATAAGTTTATTACGTCACGTCAAAATATATGCACGGCCGTGCAATACCATTTTTACGGAGTCGCAAATCGCAAAGTGTGATAAATCGGAGTATCGAGGTTAACATATTATATATTTATATATATTTATATATGTATATTTTACATGTAATTTAATTTAGTTTGTATTTCCAAACTTCCATAGTTATTTTTTTATCTTTTGCTGCAGACAAACGTTTCGTACCTATCTCACCTTAAACGAGATACAATCAAACACGTTTTTTTTTGAAAATTGAAACATTATTTAACAATACCTGTTTAAAACAATAGAATGCGCGCACAGTCAATTGAATTTGCAACTAAATCATTTGTCATCAACTAATGAATTACCCGCGTTTTAACGGAATTCATAACACCATGGGAGGTACCCAATTATTAAATCAATGATATCATTGAAGTTAATCCGAAATGTATTTTTTCAATTTGGATAGCTGAAAATCAATGTTTGTTTGCTTTTTGCCCACAGTTACTATTATACTATGGGCACTGGGATTGTTAGTATTTAAGTAATTAGCTGTTCAATATAGACAATCATGATATTATAGGTCAAACTCGTGGGCTTCGTTCTAAAACTGGTTGACTTTTAACTCGATTAGAATGACACGCAATATTTGGCTTTAATTGATGTTTTCAGATTGTCAAATAAAGTTACAGTATTCTTGTGAAATATGTGTATATTGCTTGCATGCGTGCGTGTTTCTGCACGTGTAAGTGTGCGAGCGCGCGTGTACGTGCATGCATTCATGCGTGTTTGTGTGAGTGTGTGAGCGTGCGTGCGTGCGTGCGTGCGTGCGTGCGTGCGTGCGTGTGTGTGTGTGTGTGTGTGTGTGCGCGTTGGTGTGTGTGTACGTGCATGTGTGGCGTGCGTGCGTGCAAGTGTCTGTGTCTTTTTTTAAAACGTACACAAACTTGTTAAAATGTAAATTTTTAAGATGCCTTAAACGGCAAAATTGAAAATGTTGCATGCTCAGTTTGATTTATAATGTTCATTGATAGTAGTAAAATACATTTTTTGCTAACTACATAACAAGAAGGGTATTTTGAATATATTTAAGCTAAAAAAACTCAACTTAGCTACATACTATTTTGTATTGAAGTGAAGTTCAAATTTGAATTATCGACCCTACTGTCCATTGTTGAAGAGTGTGATTCCCTTTTCCGATAACTTCCCTCAGCTCATATCAATCACTCTCTATTCCTCTCCTGGAGCTAACCAGTACTCGTATTACAAGAAGAAACAGGGTTGTGACCCGAGTAGGGCTTGAACCCATGATTCCTGGGTTGAGAGCTACCACACTGACCGCTAGGCCGCGGCTCAATACTGAAAGATTATCAAACAATGTCAAAATACAGACCATTAAGCCATATGCATATGCAAAACACACAGTGTATTTAAAATATTAGAAGTTTGTTGTAAAAAAAAGAAAAAAAGAATTCAACATACAGTCAATGACGAATATATTCAATAGAACAGTATTGTTTTTCAAATCCACATAAGTTCAACCTATTGTTGTATACGAGTTTTAATTGTAGTGTCAAATTACATAAATTTTGTTTTTCTGAAATAAAGATATGACCTACTTATAGACCGAATGCTTATGACGTAGTAATTGTTAAATGCTTTATCTATATATATATTTTAAAAGCTATTGATTTGCGTTCAGTTGGATTGGAGACTTGACGTGTAAGGATTTAAAAAAAAAGGTAAATTAAAAACTATGATTTTGTTTCAGCTTTGATTAATAATGCTTATGCTATGTATATGTATACAATAACATGCAATAAATTAATTTCACATAACATAGTAAAATAGGAATGTTTATGAAATTGTGTATGTTCAATGCTTGTAGTAATATAAACGTTACAATAGCTTTTCCGATTACGTGAAAACAGCGAATACGTTAATACGCATAACTTTGTTTTGACGTGACAGAAATATTTATGAGAATACGATTCGCAATATCATAAACACATGTTAAGCGTTAATGAAAAGACAGAAAATTTATTTTGAAGAAACCACTATTTTCAGAAAATATGAATAATTTGAATTCGGCTGCATAGCAGTCTTATGCACTTTAGAATAACAGCATGATTTATTGCGGAATGGCAGGATATATTTCGCTAGTCAATAAGTACGTACAACTTTCATATACATCAGCTTTACACTTTTGGGTCCATTTTAGATTTCTTGTTTTGTTGCAAAACCTTTTTACTCCGTATACAAATAATGGGCTGTACAACTGTCTTATTTCATGTGATGGAGGTAGTTTATTGAGAACTAAATCTTGGAACCAGGCTGAAATAAAGTTCTGCGCAAAACACGTCGTTTCCATTTAAAGGGACATAATTTTGCATTGGCAAAACCTTTTGATGTATGAGCTGGCGCGCTGCAATGTCATACAACATACAACACCTGATTGTCTTTCTATCTATTTATTTATTTATCTCCAGAAACTATACAACAATTTCGTTATAAGGAAATTTGAATATATTTTCTTCTTTTTAAAGTTTTTTTTTTATCTTTTGAGATGGTTTGAATCGTGCTGTGCGGACGTAGTTCTGGTTTCCAAAGAATCTTTAACAGTTTATTTTTATATATTCTGCTGATAAGGCATGAAAATCGGCAGACCCGTTACAAAATCTAACAAATAATAATAATAATAACAATAATAATAATGCACAGTGATATACATAAGGTTAAAAATTAATTTCTTCGGCTAATACTCTGTGAAAATTGCACAAAAGTAAATTGGCACCACTTCGTACTTCAAAATAAAATATCTAAATAATGACTGGTGACTTGTCCGGGTCCATACTTTATAGCGAAGCCTTGATTGGATGCTGGATCATCAAGAATAGCCTCTATGTATACATGCAGACATGTTACATAAATGGAATTTCGTGATGTAAACTTCTCGTTTAACTTCAATTTACACAACTGCGCAGACCTAACAGACATTTTTCAATGAAGGATTTTATTTATACTATGCTGAATATGTTTCTACCATAATATACACAATATGATAAAAAAAATGGTATACCGGAAAGAAATTATATTTCAGCCATTCCGATTTACAGTACATTCACCACAGACATGGGGTGCCTTTCACTAACGTACTTATTTTATCGTAACTCGAGTTTGAACCTTACTCTTTGCGCCAGCAGAACTTACGTATTTGGTTTAAACGTAAAGTTACACTCACTTATTGCTGGCGTAAATTGCACGTTCTGTTTAGTGAAACGCAACTAACATAAATTTACGTTTTGCGTAAGTCCAAATTTGCGTAAAAAAGTGCGCTAAACTTACGGAATAATACTGAAACGCTCGCCAGCTTATAATACTTTCCTTGAGTCGTTTAATATTGATATCAATATCAATATGAAATTATTTCACGTAAACTAGATTATTCGCAATAATATGAACATTTGTTGTACAAACGACTTTTACATACAGGTTCCGTGTTCAGTGTTCACAAAGTAAAAGCAGAAGAGGACCATGATCAACTGATCTTGATTTGAGCCGCGTCACGACAAAACCAACATAATGGGTTTGCGACAAGCATGGATCAAGACCAGTCTGTGCATCCGCGCAGTCTGATCAGGATCCATGCTGTTCGCTATCAGTTTCTTTACTTGTTATAGGGTCTGTAAGCGAACAGCATGGATCCTGATCAGACTGCGCGGATGCGCAGGCTGGTCTGGATCCATGCTGGTCGCAAACCCACTATGTTGATTTTGTCGTGATGCGGCTCATTTTATTTTCTTTGCTTTATGAAATTTACATTGATCATATTTTAGGATAAAATCATTTTGGAAGGTAAACACAATTTTAAATAAATGGAAAGCAACATTATATTTTGAATAAACTTAATGCAAGTACAGAATTAAAGTAAGTACCTTTTCGAGTTCAATATTTGTATCAATTTTAATTTGCATTAATCATATTTTAAAAAACATAAAATTATACTGCAATAATTTACTTTCCTAAATGAAATATATATTGAGAAATATTAATGAAATAAAATGCGAATTTTTCATTTTTCGCAGTTTTACTGAAAAACATTATTTTTCACTGCAGTGAAACGCATTTTCCGTATTTTCACTCATGTTTTGCCGGACAATATTCTCCTAAATTCAGCCAATACACAAGATTTCAGGGGAAGTCTTTAAAATTGTAATGTACACAAAAAAGAGAAAAAAAAAATTCTGATAAACAGAAAATTCAAGTTTATATGCATACCACTCGTCAAAAATAAATGTTTTATTCATAGAAAAAAAACTTAAATATCCGCCATGAATTACTGCTGCTGTATGAAAAGATTTGTCCGATAAATTAAGATGTGACACTTTTTATTATTACATGTACAATAAGGTTTTTGCTTATTATATATAAGCCGGTGCTATAGGGGTGCTATAGGGGTGGGGGAGGAGTGTTGGGGTGGGGTGCACTTGAATTGAACAGGTATACTGAAACATAAAAAATCATTGCTTTATTTGTTTTGAGTTGCTTCTTTTAAATTGCACTCATTGCACTCGAGGGATCCCTTCTTGTTCAGATTTCTTTTGAAATTAAATGTCTGCTGCTTAATGTTTTAAATCGTTGAGATGTATAAAATAAAATCTAAATTATCATTTGAATAAGACAGAAATGTGTGTATGTATTTTATCAAAATAAACGGGTATTGATCAACTTATCAATACACGAAACATTATTTTTTTTAATAGTTGTTTTAAAACATTTATCAAAAGCCTTATTTTTTATATAATAGTCATAAAGCGTCTATTGAATTTTTTTATTAATCTTGTCACCTATTTTACGAGGCCTGTATACGGATCATGTGTTTTTAACGTTTTTTTTTTCTTAAATAAACTTATTTAGTATTGACTTTTCCAATACTCCACCGATTTATGCGTCAATGTTAATAAAATACAATGTAAATAATCAATTTTTTATAGGGATATATGTACTACAGAATTTGGATATAAAGTATATGACTACAGCCGACCTATTGAAAGTACTTGTCACCCAAACACATGAAGAATAAACACATTGAACACTAATGTAATGAAAATAAATCTGATAAATCATAAAATGGCTATCTATATACAATAATCAGTTGTAAACAACATTTTCCCGCCTTTTACGTATATAATGTTATTCCCAGTCAGCCACCTTTATGTTTCGTTTCGTTGAAAGATTTACTTTAGAGCTGGAATGATGTAATCTGAAATATTGTTCGAATTTTGTCACATTTGTTAAAGGTGATAAAGGTTGAAAAAATACGTTTTGCTATAATGAAATTATTGTAACGTGTATTAACTGTTTGTCATAAAGTTTTGTATATGTTCGCCTCATGGACTTTTAAGAATGAAAAGGAAACTGCATGTATGCTTCAGAAATTTATATTAATGATCAACATTATTTTTTGTCTAATCACATTGTAGAATTTTTCAAATTTCTGCTAAGTCTAACTTTGGTTAATGTGTACTAACTAAATAAAATTTACTTAATCTGTCGTCTAACCAGTCTAACAAATTTCAATAATGCATTATATTAGGGAGGAGTTAGAGGTGTGGTTTGCACTCTGAATTGGAAAATATAAAGGTTAGCAAAACAATGCCAACGTAAAAATAATTAGGCTTTCTAAATGTGAGGATACAATCAACTGATTTATTACATAGATAATACATGTGGGGCACGCAGAGACAAATGATTACATAGTAACTTATTTATATTTTAACTCTAAGAAAAATGTCTGTTATAAATTTCTGACTGTTTTAACTTTATATTTTCTAGAAAAAGTAACCAAAAAATTATTTTCTTTCACTTGATAGGAATGAACTGCATTAACAATACAATGAAATTAAGAATACAATGATTACATTTTTGGCTGGAAAACTCATTGTAAACTGACCCCTCCACCTGTAAACTGTTTTACAAATAATTAATAATCTCTAATGTATTTTTCTCACATTTTCCATTTATTTAAAAGGATGTACACATTTCATTAACTCCATTGTTTTTACCTACATGTAATTACTGTACATAAAGGTATAAATTCTGTGACATTTCAGTAAAAATATGCCTGATTATATGTTGAAAGGGTCATTTATTTAGCTTATCTAAATGTGAAATGTTAGAACTTGACAAGGTGTAGACATCTTGTAGAGCGAAAGGGCGGAGCTATCAGTGATTTAGAGAAATGCCTTGTTTTTGTGAAAAAAATAATGTTGATCATTAAATAGGTTAATGTTTAATAAAATGCAGGCAGGCGACCAATTATTTTTGTTAATACATATTATTAAAAACTAACCTATACTTAAATATCGGGGATCTTCTCTGTATCTGCACTATTCTTTTTTCTTCACATATTAAGAGGGTATTTTCTTGTTTAAGTGAAATATTGAATATTTTCCGCGAAGCATGATAACATTTTATATATTCTCTCAAGCCGTAACTGTGAGTGTAAATGTATAGAATTATAGAATTCCATTATGTTTAGTATAATTTATATTTCACTGAAATCGAAAAAAAAACAACAAAACAAACATTTACATTTATCATACAAAAAAAGTTGCATATAAGACCACCATTGTTTATGTAGTTGCAATTGTACAGCGTGCAGTAATATGTTCATTTTTAGATGCGTGACTCGGCTCAATACACTATCTATGGGATATCCACACGGACTTTGCTAGAA